GCAAGCCAGAACGTTTTGACTTCTTGTCTTTAACCTTTTCATTGTCTATTTTATTTAGATAATTTTACAACCTTTAAGCAAGAGAAATTTATAACTTGAGTAGGGTTGTAGTTTTAACGAGCTGGTAAAAGGTAGTAGAGAAATATTCAACCGAAGTATCTCCTTTTCTTGATCCGTAAAACTATTTTAATCAAAAGAAAAAAAAATTGTAAAATTCAATAAACTTGGAATATAAAAACTATTCAATGCATTTGGAGTTTACTTTTAAATTGCAAATTATATGAAGAAAAAGAAAGAGAGAGAAAAAATTGATGAGATCAGGATGAAAAACTTTGAGAAAAAATAATTGAGTAAAAGTTTCAGTTTCGAAGCAAGAAAGATATAATTATGTGAAATGGTGCATGTTAAGTAACAAAATGTTCTTCAATTAATACTATACTGGAATTTGTAATTATCTCAGTGGTTGTACGATCTTGGATGGCTTTTCTTATACAAGGGGTTGTGGTATACAAAAGATGTCTGCGTTTTCAGTAGTTAATGAAGCACTCTGAGTTATTAACATACAAACTTTATTATAAACTATATGTATACATTGATCTAATCGATTCAAACTCATTTAAATAAATCAAACTTCACCATGTCAATTAAACTTCATCATTTGTTTGAAATTTGATGTCATGTCTCATCAAATTCTTCAAGTAAAAAAATATGAAACTTGCTTTGGTATTTTATCTATTAAAGCAAAGAATGTTTCTTCACTTGCTTCATCTTCAGAAACAATTCAGAAATTTTTCAAAGCACAAAAATGTTTAATAATCCAAGAGAAGTATTCTAAAAATGGTATTAATATTGTTATTTAATTAATTAATGTTGATACAATGTAAGAAACAGATGCCAAAGTACAACGAGGTCAAGATAGTTTGTGATGTCATCAAGATGTGTAGAATCCACAAGAGAAGCAGCAAGATAGAATTGGTGAAAACATTGATATGAGTGGAGAACTCTAGATCTAGATTATTCTATCCTAGGTACACAACAACTAAACCGTTGTACAAGGCTAATTCGTTTATATGGATTATGTCAGTGAAACTCTCATGTTCATGAGCAAGTAGTATATACCTACAAGGAGACAACGAGCTCAACGCACGCTTCATGACAGTGTGTATGTTGAAATGTACCCCCTCGTATTATACAGATACATATGTATATATATGTATAGATAATATTAACTCACACAAATATACAATCCGGCTCATCCGCGATTTTGCAATTCCCTCACGAAACTGTTATTCCACTCGGTACGCCATAGTTATTTCCATTACACCTCCGTGACACTGCGGAAAATAATAGGGCTCTGCTTACTACTGTCTCTCTTCTTCTCTTCTCAATAGTCAAGAAAGAGAGTCACGTATAGCTGGAACACGAATTATACTCGTAAACTTCTTGCTTTTATTATCGACATTTTCATCCTTTTTGAGGCCTCTTCCAGATGTACTCATGGGTGAAACTTTTCAGGCTTTTTGTTATTATAATTGATGTAAACTTGACTCATGTCTTTGTTAATATTGTCAATTATTTTCAGGTAATTTAAAATTTTTTCTCATGCAAAAATACAATTTTTAATTGAAAATAAAAATGCAATTTATTTAAAAAAATGGTTTTTTATTTAATACTGATGTCAAGTTAAATTAAATAAAAATTTATATTGATAAATCATGTTGTTTAGATTAAAGTCAAAAATTTTTAGAGCAATTGAATTTTTATTCAACTACAATATGTTGATAATTTAATTATAAATGAATGTATTTAATAAAAAAAAAAATCTGGACAAATAATGAAAGTTTTATGAAGAGGGAAAACATGTTTAAAGATGCATTTTTATTTTTAATAAATTTGAATTATATAATTAAAGACATTTAGTAAACAGAAATTTATTGTAACTTAAACATAATAAACTAAGTGTTTTGAGATGAATCCAAGTCGTGGCAGAATTGGAACTTTATTTAGGAATAAAATCTTGCTTTTTGACAAATATTAAAATATTATTTATTTTTTTGGTGAAATCTTACTTGGAGAAAATTTTAATATTTCTCTTCAGAGTTTACTGCTACATCTCTATTTAAATATTAAGCATGGATAACTTTTTTTTTAATATTAAGTAATTGCAAAATATTTACTTTGGAATTTATAAATTATATTTATACATAATGCTCAAATATCATTAATTTACTCAACAACACTGATACATTTTTAAAAAGTCTTTAAAAATAAACAAAAAAAAGGATGAGGGAATTTCTTTACATCCAACAGTACACGACCAAGTATTTCCGTAAAAAATAAACACATTTAGATAATACGAAAAAAAAACTGTGAATGAATAATTAAGGTGAATAAGTAAACAGGATGTTTGTAAGTAATTTTGATAGCATGAATAAAAGGAAGAAAATAGGAAAAAAAGTGATGAGTACTGTTGGCAAGATATTTTAATGGAAGTTTGGACTTGGGATATTTTGTGGTGAAAGGTAGGAGAAAAGAAAAGATTGTTGGGTATGTTCTAGCAAGTGAAAGACGACAAGGAAGATGGTAAAAGCACCGAGGTGTTGATAATGAGATGTTAATGGAGTGGGCGGAAAAAAATGCAAGGGTCGCGAACGATATCGACATGTCTCTCTAGTGTCATTCAGTCAACTCTCACTATCCCCTTTTCCCTTTAAAAATCCACCAGATTCTTTAGCTCGTCTCCACGACACGCCTTCAACTCCGATGGTCTCTGACGTTCTCTCACGCTCCTTCTAGACTCTGTAATTGATTTTGTCTCCGACAGACTTGTCTCGACAGTAAAACCGAGAAGAGGCCACAGGACAATCAATTTTATGCCAAGATTATCCAATGAACTTACTGAAAATTTCTTTAGATCATACTTGATATTTACTCTCCTCGAGATTTTAAATCTCTTGGATTTTATCGAGATACTTTAGATGAAACGCCAAGCAACTTGGTTAAATCATTGCATCACTTGTAACTTGAGTGAAATTTCTACATCTTGAAGAACCTTTTTTTTTAAAGAATTAAAATTATTTCGTCTACTTGAGTTCTTTAGGAATTTATTCATCTTCAAATCAAGTGAAACAGAAACAAAATAAAGTTAAAACAATTTTTTAAATTTAAGTTATTCTTTTTTGTTAATCAATAAAATATTACTGTAAAAATATTTGATATTATTTCCCTAACAATTGATATCATATAAAAATAACTTTTTATTCCTGGAGTCTTTTTACTTGTCTTTAAGAGCATTTCTATTTATACACTTGAAATTCTTGCTGATCCTTACTTACTGTCATTCATTTTTACTCATCCTGGGTCACTATTTCTTTGTATCTGAATGTCAGATATTTTTAAAAAATAAAACACGCTATCCGATTATGCTGAGATCGAGAAATATATAATTTAATAAATTTATCTACAATTTTATTACACCCAAACAAAATTTAAAGTAGCTACAATACTGGAAATATTTCTCGTTCAAATTTTTCGACACATTCCCGTTGTATTGTTTTGAGCACTAGAAAATTTTTATCTATCTCCTTTTGTGTTGATAAAAAATATCCACTTTAATTCATCAATTACAAATATATTTCATTGTAGATGATAACTTCGAGTTGTAGAAAAATGAGATAAATTTTTATTAGTATTTATATATTAGATTATAATAAACTGATATCTATTTTCATGCTGACATATTTATTCAAATGATCAACTATCATCAAAAATAATCTAAAATTCATTTTCGTACTCGTGACAAATACAGAAATAACAAGAGTTTCGTGCTTCAAAGTACGACGTTGAAATGATCCGGTTATTAATCACCGCTTGACGGTAATCGTTCGTAATAGTAACAATAGAAGCAACGTGTGTGATATTGAGCAACAAGAGTCCACATCTATTGATGATGATGGTTATATTATGGTTGTATGAATATTCGCGTATATGTAACTTGAACATATACTCAGATACCTGAATTGCACATATGTTTGCTTTAAAATCATCTATGGGTCAGATGTACGAATGAATGCACATATAAATTCTATTTACAAATACATACGCACTGTCTATCAAAATGGCATAGTCATGACATTCATATAAGCCCATCCACATCATGTGTTTATAGGTTTACATACAAATGTCAGAATAAATAAAAAAGATGAAAATATTTTTTCATGTGGAATATACGTCATGAGGTTATTATTTATCTATTTAAATGTTATTACCTACAGTTATTATTATTTATGACTGGATATTGAAATAACTTTGTTTCCATTTGATTCTCATGTTAATATGTAAATTCATATTGTATTTAAACAAATTATATGAACAGGGAAAAAAATGTATTTCGGTCATGGAAATGTTTTTTTAATAGACATAAACTGATATTTCCTTAATTGATTAAAAATAAAAATTAAATAAATTAATTGATTAATTTTTTTGTTTGTTTATTATACGATTAATTTATAATTAAGAGAGAAATTGTGATCTTTAAATAATAATTGTAGATAAATGAACAAAAATATTTTATTCAAGTTGAAACAAAGTTTAAAACAAACACTAAGAAAAGTGTCAAAAGAGCTTAACAATCATTAAAAAGATGTCCAAACAAAAAAAAATGTAAAAAAGTCATTGCTTATATTGTTTGCCAAGAGAAAGATAACGTATACACAAAATGCAAATAGGTAAGCCCATCAATCAAGTTTTTTTCTGGCTGTCGGATTAAACCTTCAGTCGTATCACTTACACTAGCCACTAACTCACGAATGACTTTATCTATACACGTAAATTCAAAAAAGGAAACAGGCGTTATTTATAATTTTTTCTCAAGAAAAAATAAATCATAGATTTGTAGATGTTGAAGTAAAAATAAATAAATTCACAGCTAAATATCCATATAGATAGCAAATATTCATCTATATCCATGTACATAAGCGTATTTTTGGTTGTATTTGTAGGGATGCTGCTTCAGGAGAAACGAAAAGTAGAGGAACGAGTGGCTTGGAGGATGACAGAGGTCGTGGAATAGAATTTCATTGACGTCTGTCTTGATCTGGTTTCGGTCTCATGCCGGATGCGCCAGTCGCTCTGGTTTGCTGTGCTATACAATGCTCTATCATCGCATTTTCTTCGCCGTGCTGACTATTCTTGGCGTACCCACAGGTAAGATTGAATTTGACAATTTTAATTAAAAAAAAAAAAAGAAAAGCTTGCCTTCTCTCGTTCCAATTTATGAAAAATATCATCAAGAAAACAACCGTGGCTGTAGGACTAGCAAATCGGTCGTGAGGACACGACAGATGTTGGCTGATTGGCTGGCAATGTCACTCGCAGTTCGTGGTATTCGTGAGTACAGGTACTAGGGATAGTTGCAAACAGCATCCGTTCAACTTCTGCTACTGATGTTTATTTGCCAATACAACTGGACTTGTCATTGCAATTAATTTACTAGAAATGCAAGTTTACTGGTTATGATCGTTTCCTTCATCACTATCTAGTTTCCAAGATATTCTGGTGAGACTACTTTGCTGACACAGTGCATTAACTTCTGTTTTCCAGTTATCTTCTTCTGAATAGTGTTGATAAACTTGTTTGTTGAATACTTAACATTTATTTTAATTAATTGAAAATATGTTGAGGTAAATAAAAAATGAAGTAATACAAATGTTTTTTACTACTTAAAAGGCACTTAAGATAAAGAAGAATTGTTGGATGATGGTAGTTTCTTTAGGAAGATTGAAAATTTATGATAATATCAATAGAATTTTCAATGAGACAATTGTAAAGTAGTTAATTCAGTTTTATTCCATTATTCAAGGCTCAATGGTATTGCATTGTAAATATGAGATATTTGAATAAATAATATTAAAATTTAAACTATTTTATACATTGATGGAACTCAAGATAAATTTATCACTAAAAATTTGATCCATTTTGCATTTGCTATTATTTAGAAGAAATATTATTTAAATATTAAAATCAGTCCACTAATTAAAAATCAATTGGATATTTTATCTGAATTTTTTTTTTAAAAATAAACTTCATCTTGAAAAATGGATTGTTTTAATTCAATAACTAAAGAGGAAGTTCAATCACCGGAGAGATGAAATTACTAACAGCATTGTATAAAAGACATACTAAATTTTGTGGTCTTGAAGTACAAAATATTTTGATGGGATTTGATGCATATAAATGACTGTGTCATTAAATTCGACAAATTAAAAGGGAAAAGAAGAGTAGATATCTTGGAGGGAAAAAAGAAAAAGAAGTAATATAATATGCGCGGTGTCGTTTGGCCCATCCCATTTGTTCTTTCAGAACAACGTAGCCAAAATGGAGCTTCGTGCCCAAGCAAGCTGCTAGTCGTTGATAACGACTCGACGTCGTTCATATTTTACACTCAACTCATCAATAATTCATGCTGTGAATAATGCACGACTGTTTCACGTTACTTTATATTGCCATGGACCACATCGTAACCACGTCTTCGCGTGAAAAACTCGATACATACACTGAAAAAATGATATTCCTAGATTAAGAATAATTTCATTCTTAATCATAATCACACTAGTGTCACAGGCCCTTTACTGAAAACAATTTGTTTATTGTGAATTTTTTAATTAAAATATTTTATTCAGTAATGACAATTATTTAATAAGTTTTAAGAAATAATTTCACTCATTTAATTTTCAGTTCAATGCTTAATGTGAAAATGTCATAAACTAATTTTAGCATTTTGTATTTATTTTTTGAACACTTTAAAGTGCATTAAATTTTATAATTTATTTATGAAAGTTCAACATTAAAACTCATTAAAACGTTCTTTATGTATTCTATTGAAAAACACTTGAATTTATAATGAAACCTAAATGAAAAAGTATTTTTTAAAATTATTAAGAATTTTATTAAATTAATAAAATAATTAATTACAATTAATTTATTAAATATTTCATTGTTTCTCTTAGTGTTTTCATAGGAAAATAAATTAAAATGTTTACAAATGAGAAGAAAAATTTTTTTTGATCAAATAAAAGCTTGATAAAATTTCCAAAATCAATCCATTTGATTGCTAGCAATAATTTTTATTACTTTTACACATCCGGATTTCATCATTCCATCATATCCATCTTAATGATATATACCCATCAACTCTATATACAACTCGAAGCTCGAGAAATTCCCTATAGACGACAACAACAGCTGGCAAGCCCAAGTAAACGTCGAGTTTCATCATTCCTTCTTTCTTCAATGTCTTCTGTGCACCACATCGGTTTTCGCCACGATCCAGTAGATAGTCGGATGTTTCATGTCAAATTAGAAGGAGCATAGTATGTGACAAAGAAAACCCAGTGGGAAGTCAAATAGTGAAGGTGAAATGTTCCTACAGTCATGTCATTGTGTGATATTAACGATAAATTAATACTTCATAATTTCTCAGATATCATAATATCAAATCTAATATGGTCGTCATTTAAATTGACAATTTTTATCGCGTGCATTGAAATCCATGCGCTTGTTTCATGAAAAATATCATCATAAATTATTTAAACTGAAAAGCTTTCATCGTAAAAGAATAGCTTTTGAATGCAAATAACCCATAGGATTTCTATAGATATACATACATACGTACGTCAATAAGTTGAAGTTTATTTTATATATAATTTCAAAAATAAAATAAAGTTTCTTTTCTCTGGATATATTATAAAATGATAAATTATTTTTAGTAATTTAATAAATATATATATACATAACGATTCAATGCTTAAAACATTCATTTCATGAATACGTTATCTTTATTAACATTCTCATTTTATGAACATAAATTTTAGTAAGTCTCCAAGTCTAAAACAAAAATGCAGTTTTTCTATCAAGTTACATGTAATTATAATTTTATGAATTTTAAAAATATTCTAAAGAATAAAATAAAAATGAGAACGAAAATAACAAAAATTCTGAACTATAATTCAGTAAAAACAAAAAAAAAATGTTTTAGAAAAATAAAAACAGAGTTGAATACATCGAGACTTTTTGAATATGCAGTGGAAAACAATGTCGATGAATTGAATGGGAAAAAAAATGATTAAGACTCCTGTCTGAGTGTGTAGATAGTCTTATTTATTTGGGCAATTTTTCAGGATGTTTATTCGAGCACACAAAACACAATGAAATAGACGCAGTTACTATCTCATTGTCTTTGGACGGGTTGGACGTTACTATAACAGCTACCGCAGGGATCGGTGAGAGTTTGTTTTTCGTGAAAATTCAGGCTGTCGGGTCTGATTCCCCGGTGGACTACTACTCTCTATGTGCTCCTACTCCATCTGCTATTTTCGCTCTTCACTCCATGGTGGTATATGTCCAACCACACAGTGACTCAGGCAAAGGAAACGGACGTACGGACAATTTTAATGAACATCCGTCGCACTCACCGCTAATTCGATGCTTTGTCAAGACGAGCACACTTTGAGCTAGAATTATTAGTCCCTACAGAATTTTCATCTACTTTACGCTTTTCTTCATTTTATTATGCCACTTCTTTAAATAAAAGATATTTCACATGACTTATCTTCATTTATTTAACTTATGGAAGTACTTTTTTTTTCAAAAAAAATAAACATGTTGTGAAACATTTTTTCCCAACCTTAATCTCATATATAATATTGTTCAAAAGATTCATTCATAATTCTGAGTTGAGATGTTTTTAAAAACATACTGAGTGAAGTATTTAATGTTGTCCAGAGAAATTTATTAATACGTTTTTTAATAAACAAATGATGATTCTCATATGCATCAGTGTATGAAAAATTAAAAAATTTAATTACATTAAAATTACTTAATACTTTAATATGAGTCTGGGTTTTTATGTTTATTGGTTGAAATCGACCTTAATCAGTGTCTGGTCAATGTTCGAATCTAGTTTATGGCTAAAACTTTTTTTTCATTTTTAACTAGTGCCTTAGGGAAGTTGTAGCAAAATGACCAATTAAAAAAAATCTCTCTAGCATAAAAAAGAATTTTATTTACAAATCTGATGATCAAACTAAATTTTCAATTAAGTTAATTTTTATTTTTTTCAAATAAAAAATGTAACAGAACATAGAAACTCGAACAAAAAAAAAAGATCAACATAACAGTTATTGTTAAATATTTATATTTAGAATTTACTAGACAATAATTTGAAATAAAAACATAACGATTACTAAAAAATTTGATTTTCAATTAAAACACATACACTTCTTTTTTAATTAAATCAAGAAATATCAAGAAAATGTTTACGTGAAATTTATGTATATTTTATTGCACATTACACTTAAATGTAGCATTCATCAGGCAGGAAATAGCAGCTATTAAACAAAAAAGTGGAAAAAGAAAGAAAATCACTTTTTTACAACAACATGAATGTTTATAGTAAATTTTTTATTTAAAAGAATGTAATTTTTTCAACGATATAATAATACATAAAATAGAGAAGAAAATTAATTGTAAAGACTAAAATATTTAACATAAAAAGATACGAAAATGACATGATCAAACAATTTGATTCATAAGGTAGACTGAAAACGACAGAGCGGGAACGTGATGTCGCATTAAGTAGCCTATAAAATACAGAATTAATGTAAATATGGTAGTAAAATGAAATGCAATGTTTTTAGCGTGTTGTAGCACATTTGTATATTTATGTCTTATATATATATAACTCTTTATTACTTGTATACTTCCTGTTTGAACGGAAATTTACAGCAATAAGATACTTCCTTGGAAATGCGTATTTACCTAGAAGTAGTATCAAGTTCAATAGAAATTACAATTGACTGTTTCAGTGACGAGCTTGGAACCTGACTTCCTTTATCCTTTGGAAAACGTAACAATTGCACAAGGACGAGACGCAACGTTCACGTGCGTGGTGAACAATCTGGGTGGATACCGGGTGAGTCCTTCCTCCTACACCAGTGGAGATCACAGTGGCACCAAGGCCCGGGTAACTATAATCTTACCAACATTACGAGAGAGCCTGTGATGCACCTGCAATCGACCCTAAATTAACTACTGACTGCACCGTGAATGCGTGTGCCTGCATTTCACACACAGCCATTGCATTGATGCACTCTGCAATGAAATGGAAGTAATAAAGAACGTGGACCTGTCATCCACGATAGCTCATACCTACAAAGTAGCACGCCGCACGCTAAAATATATTGTATAACGACCGGAGCACTCATAAATGGTCTAACTTATTACGCGGCTGCCTGAAATATGCCTGATGCCTTCGTTTTAACTTTCAATACCCATTTAAACTTATATATCCAATCAACTATGATGACATTGTGTATCGATCATTACTTTGCTGTTATTCGATTTAGGTCAGACTTTGATTACTCGAATTAATGTAATTCATCGAGAATTTCATTATATGCTAGAAAATAAATTTGAGCTTTTTTTGTGTCAACTCTATAATTACTTTGAGTCTATCATTCATTTGCATCCATTTATTTTTATTTTTTCATTACAACTATACAAACAAACAAAAATTACTGAATAGCCAAATTAAATTTCTTTTATACATAATTGATTAAATAGATCCATAAACGATCAATTTATCAACATTTTTCTTTTATTTTGGCATAAAAATTTCACTATTATTGAGTTGACATGAAATCACATTGCGCAATGAGATTACAAACATTAGAATATTTCGTAATGAAAACAGTACATTTAATTTAGAAAAATATTTTCCTTCATTTCTTCATAAAGATTATTTTAATTTCATTAAGAAGATTTTTTCAGTAAAACTACCAGACTTTGGTCAGACACCACTTGTTCCACTAGATAAGCTTTTTTGTCTTGGTTTTTTTTCTATGCTATTAAGACGATTAACTAAATATTTTTTTATCCAAGTTTAAATTACTCTATTCAAACAATCACTTTACGAAATACTGATCTCCACTCCGACCTTCATTGATCAATATAAATATATTTTTTTTTTAATATAACAAAACTTCATTTAATTAAATATTAAATTAATTTTCTTAGAATGACCTTGGACTCAATAATTGCTCTTCTACTCAATAATATCACAATTATTTAATGAAGCTGAAGTTAACTTTGAACGTGCGCTGTCTAATTAAACACTAATTGATTATCTAAGAAGAGACAATATTAACGATAGCTCGGGTAGCAATTTTTTATTATGATACATCGTATTGAAATATTTTTTTATCAGTCTCCAACTATCCCTTTTACCTACCTTCTTTTTCCTTTTCTCTTTTTACTCTCCAACTAACTTCTAACTACTAACTAACGACTCTGGTCTCGTTTTCTTTTCCGAGCCTGAATTAATTCTCTTATAAGTGCAATATCAATCGAAAAAGCTCAAAAATCAAATGGTCCATGTTCCAAACTCCAGATTAGGACTGGATTTAAATTGCTACCTGGGTAATTGATCCTCAGTTGAACAACACATGTTTGAAGTAGCTTTGAGTTTTATGAAAATGTCATTGCCTAAGAGAATAACAATTAAGATGATTATTAAATAAAAATGATCAAATTTTAAAAAAAGATTTGATAAAATTCCTGTCAAAGCTAGTATTTTTGTCATAAAAAAAAGGATTTTGGAATTTTTTTGGAGCTAATTTTATTATATTGGGATGATATAATAACTGTTAAATCACTGAATTATGGTCAAATAAGTTGTCTACATAAGAGTAATACTATTTTCATTATCATGAGGATAAGATAAAAAATAAATTATACACGCTTAACTCGGATTAATGCAAGCCACGTGATCGCTTCCTCTACTTTATGACGACGCTGCTGCGAGTACGTGACGCGACAATCTTGATATAGCCACTCGTATAGACGGTTTAAACTTTCATCCAACAAGCCGTCTGCAGTTAGTAAAAAGTTTGAAGCGTAACGTCGTAGACACGTTTTCTCTCGTGACAACATCGATGAAACCTTTTTAAGTATTCCATCGAGAAGAGCATCACGCAACTGTTCCACATACGGAAGTCGAAAAAATTTTTTATATCAGAAAAATTTATAAATAAAAGTTAACTTTAGATTTTTACTTCTACATACGCCGTTACAGCTTTTTATTTTTTTGGCAATTTTTTTTTTTTGCTTTCTTTTTATTATTCACATTGTCAAAATTTACTCCAGTAATTATTTTTATTATTGCTTATTACTTGAGGGTAACTATATTTTAGGTAACATATGTGGTGCATTAACTTAATTTTTGGGTAACTTATTCTCATTTTACCCTCGATATGAGGGTAATCTTTACCCATAAAATTTTTTCAATGTATATGATTCAAGAAATCGAGACTATTGCAATAAAATATATTTTTTTTATTATCATTAGCTATTTTTATATTTATTTTTCTAAATAAAAAAAGTATAAAAATTTTTAATAAATTTTTACATATAAATGTGTTAAAGGATAATTATTACTTGAAAGTGGGATTCCCTTATGAAGATTTTTATGATAATTAGTGTCTTTTTTATAATTAGAAAAAAAAGACAGTTTCTCAAATAAAATATTATAATGATCACTATTTAAATTTAAAAATTGCTATATTACTATTAAATTTAAATCAGATATTTATAAAATTTTTTTATCTGTAAGAAAGATTCTTCAAAAACCTTTTCGCATTAAAATTGAAAAGAAGTTCTATTTTTGAAAATTAAGAGTTATTAAATGCAAGAAAATTTCAATTTAAATATTCATAAATGGATTTCTTATTGGTTTTTGATTATGAATGATTTGAAAAAATTTCGAAATCTAAAAAATTTTAATGAATGCAATATATTATGAATAAAGTTTTTGGCCATAAATAATCTACATTTAAAACAGTCTTCAGAATTTATTCTTCACATATTCTATCAGCAATTTTTTTTTTTTAATCTTTTCAATACACATACATTTAACACTATATATACCCACATCAAGTAAGATGTCGATAATATCATGGATACATTATTTAGTCGTTATTTATTTTTTCGATAGTTTCCACAAAACGCAGTGAATATCTGCACAAAATATCTATACTGAAATAAGTTTATCAAAGCCTCGGGGCATGTTTTGATGCATGGAGTTTGGTTACGAATAAAAAATAATTAAAACAGGATGCATGAGCATGATTTTATGAAAGTTTGAGTACATTTATTTTTGTTTCCACAATAAAATTGTTGCAGTATTGTTACTAATAAAATTGACATGTTCACATATTCATCTCAATGCACTAATTATTCTAAAACAAAATAAATAAATAAATAAATAAAAGACAAAAAAATTCTTAGTATTGTTAATTAAATATACTTGTTTTTTTTAACAGTAATCAATGTTATGACAAAATTAAAAAATAAACTTAAATAGTATTAAAAACAATCGTATTGACATGTAATTCTATAACAAAAGTGCATTTCTCTGTTTCCTATGCATTTAAAAAAATGTTATTTTCCACAAAATTCGTACAGTCTCCGACTAAACCGTCATACATTTCATACTATTGCATAGAATCGATAAAAAGAGATAGAAAGCATTTGTTCACATAGTCAAATGAGAGATAGCAGTTGTAAGTCTATTGTGATAGTAGTAGAAACATGATTTTCAACATGGGGACTTGTTACTAAACTTTTAATTAGCAATTTTATTCGTACATACTCAGTGTCCCTTATTGTTTTAACTTTGAAAAAAAATTCTGAGCTTCCCCTAAAAAAAAATCACAGCAAAATTCAAAATTAATCAATAGATTTTTGACCAAATTTTATCATTAATCATTTCCAAATATTTTAAATTAATTTAAAAGAAAGATAGTTTAAACTTTATTTTAATTTCAAAATTTTTTCAAGTAAATAAAACTCATGATCAGAGTAATGATGAAGGTGAGACTTGAGTACACAATTTCTGTACTCTAGACTCTTTAACTAAAACTTTAAGAGTTTTCGTTATAGTTTGATAAATTATTTCCACTGAAAGAAAAAAGTTTTTTTAATTCTTCGAAAATATAATTATCTTCAAACAAATTCCAATTTTTCGGGCATTCAAAGAATTTTGAATACTGTGATAAAAAATGAATTGAAAAAAAATCGAACTATATAAAAAAAGCGAATGATAATTTACACATCCATATATATATATATATATATATGTATACGATAAAGAGGGAAAAATATACGTATGTTGGTAAGGAAAATAAACGAGGTGTAGTAAACTGGACGAAGGCGCGCCTGATCCTACAATGCAGTACAATAGAGCACCGAGTTGGTTTGCATATGAAAGAGACACAAGAATAGAGGTTGAGATAACCTGTGCGTATAGCTATGATATTATATCTGACAAGCTTTCTGAAGCAAGACCATATATATATATATATATATATATTCTATACTGTAAGTTCCAAATTCTCTAGTGGCACACACATATGAAAAAAAGCCTTACCCTACACCCTGATTTTCTTTTTCCCACATCACAACGTTATGGTTAACCGACTTTTTTTAACGACAAAAAAAACTTAACCTGAGGCTTCGTAAATGTGCGTGCGTCACAAAGAGGTTATTGGGTATTTTTTGTTGTTGGTGTCAAAGCGGAGAAAGCTGAAGGGTGTCTCAAAATACTCCACATTAACTCGAGAATCATGTAATGGGGATGAAAGAAAAAATATTTTTTATGTTTATGATAATACATATATGTACATATATATATATATAGCTAATGCAAGTGATATACATGCTGTTATTATTATTATTATTATTGTTATTACGTTGATCGAAATACATTTTAGTGCCGGAAGACATTAACCCATTTTTTAGAGTACAAGACAGTCGACACCAAAAATTTCATTTTAACTTGAAAAAAAAAAAATTGACATTATTTTATAAATGATATAACTAGTGATAATACTGTTCCATAAAATAATCGGATTTTTGAAAGTTAAAGCTCTAAAGAGAATTAAAACTCTAGAAAAAAGCTTATTAATGAAAAATACAAAGCTTCTTAAATGATGAAAAAAACAATTTCAATAAATAATTAATAAAATCGTTTTTTTTGGATGGAATTAGAAAAATTTTTTTTTCATTTTATAAATTAAAATTATAACTCAGAAAAAAAGTAGATATTACTGATAAGAATTCAATTTCATCAATGAAATGAAATAAAACTCTGCAGAATATCAAATTCATTTCTTCATGGAAATAATTTTATTTTTATCATCAACTAGTATTATTTTCTTCATCATGATTATTATTATGATTATAAGAAATGGCAAAGAGCACTCAGTCACTTAGTTATTGGCAAGGACTATTCTCTACTTTCTTTCAATGTTTTATTTATATTCCCTTTTTCCTCCTTTAAACGTTATCAATGGAAAAAGAAAATATCCTTTTTTCGTTTGCTGTAGTGCTTGGATGATTTCCTGGGCCGACAGTAAACGGTAGTGTGGATCTTGGAACATCCGATAGTTGCCAATATTATAGATAGAAATCGTTGAAAACATTCGGTCATTGAACCAATTGAAATTTCTTCCTTCATCCTCTGGCTTCTTTATGGCCTCTTTCCCAGACGTATCTGTATATTCTGTACATAGAAACGCTACTGCATTTACGAGTGACAATAAAGATCATTTTATTGAGAACAGGTAGCTTGGATCAAGGCAGACACAAAAGCAATACTGGCAATCCACGAGCACGTTATCACCAATAATGCTCGACTATCTGTCACCCACAACGATTACAATACGTGGACTCTAAATATAAAAAATGCTAAGGAAGAGGATCGTGGTCTCTACATGTGCCAAGTCAATACTGATCCCATGAAAAGCCAAGTAAATATTTCAATTATTTTATTTGCTTCTGTAAATTCTGGGATGAAGTAGTCACTGTTGAATTATTTTCAATAGAATGAATGGATTTGAATGGGTGAAAGGTGATATAAAAGAGATATTTAATTATGCTTTTTATCATCAGTGAAAGAGTCAATCAATACAACAGATAATAGAATTTATAAATATTTTTTATTTAAATAGTCAACTAAAATTTTTTGTTCATGAAATGAGTAATTTAAAATAACTATTGTCATTGAATAATATAGATTTTTCATGTTGGTTTAAAATAAATACTAGTGACATAAAGCTCATGAATTGTCGACTAATGTGCTATTTAATGTGTCATTTGAAGGACTTATACCAGTAAATACTGTTATATACAAAAAGATTATTGACTTAAAATTAATTTTAACTGGCAGAGTGCTTTCCTGGAGGTGGTCATTCCACCAGACATCATATCCGAAGAAACGTCCGGTGATCTGATGGTCCCAGAGGGTAGCTCAGCAAAATTGACGTGTAAGGCACGTGGATATCCTGAGCCAGAAATTACTTGGAGACGAGAAGATCGAGGTGATATCATCGTAAGAGACACGAATGGTGGAACTAAGACACGACGTAAGTTTTTTTATCTTTTTCATTTTTACTCCTAAATTAAAGCTTTTATCTTAAACAAGTGTATTATCACAAACAATAGTTGATACTTAGTAGTTGAAATAAATGCTTTACGATTGGATGAATAAAATAATAATGTTGATTGTTTAAGTAATAATAATGTAAACGTGATTTTGAATAACAGAGCCTTCAGTGAGGGGTGAGACTTTGGTGTTAACAAAGGTCACAAGAAGTGAGATGGGCACTTACATGTGCATAGCAAGCAATGGCTTTCCACCTTCAGTTAGTAAACAGATGATGTTGCACGTCAACTGTAAGTAAACTACAACCCCATATACCTGTATGTAGATTATATATTTGAGTTCTGACACTACATTTTAGTTGTACGTCGTTACTAGTTTGCTATTGACATTAATAGTGCTTGATAAAGCGTACCAACATCTAAGGACTATATCTTAGTGAAGTAAAGACGACGGTACCATTAAGATAGTCATCGTCTTGCTCTTTGCATAATATTACCGTACCAAAGCAGCTTGAAGTTGGCTAGTCAGACGAGGAAAATAAAAATAAAATGAAAGAAAATACAGCTTAAATAAAAGTGTGAATAGGAAGAGAGGGCTGAAAAAAAAAGTACAACATCAGAGAATGCAGGGTGTGTATACATAGGCGGGTGAAGGAGGAGAGCATTGAAATGAGGAGCGAAAGGAAGCGTAAGTGTAAGAGAGATAATAAAATTACACTTGAAACGATATACTGTACAGTCTTTGTGGGGTGGTAAGCGACTTTAGAGAGGAAAGAAAAGTCTATGAAGAGGCAAGGGTAGCTTTAAGCCATGCCAAGACTTGTCCAATCGTCTTTTTCTTGGCAATATTGCTCGAGGTAATTCTTCTCCGGAAATTGGATGTACTCTCACGCCAACCGAACCGTCTGGACGCATACCTTCCTTCAACGATAATCTGCTTTCATTGAATAACCGCGTGATCACGCTAGTTTCACTGGATCCACTAACACATCTTGAAAATTATTACAGCAATAAACACACCGACAATTGTTTCACTTCTTCACACGATACTTGACTATGAATTTTGATTAACTATTTATCATTTTATTTTATAAAATATGGCATCTAATTTGTAAAATTATTCCTATAACTCTCTTCTTGCTTGTGCTAAAGTTATTTTTAATTCAATGACTTCATATAGCAAAGGTTAACGAGTTTTAATTTGTCGAAAAATTTTATTTGCTATCTTTATAGGCATCATTTGTTGGTTTTGTATAGAGTGAAACAACGTGTAACTTAACCAGAACCCTACTTGAATTTCTCTCTGCTTTGTAGCAGAACAAAGCCACAGTCTGAGCACTGACAAGTGGTCCTAAACCCCCATTATAGAGCATGAGTGTTGCGCTTTTGAGGCTTACTTTGTGAATACCACAATCGGATCGAATAAAAAAATAAATTCATTTTTACTATTGTTTTGGATGATTATTATTATTGTTATATTATTGAGAGGTGATAAAATAAAACGCTAACAGTGTCTAGGTATATTTTTTTGATCAAATTTTATAACGAATTTTTTTGGTAGTATTATTTTTCATCGGTCTGTATCCTATTTAAAACGATAAGCTGACAATTTGAATAAAAACCAATCTAACAAAGATCTATTTTTATTTTAACTATTGAACTGATTGATATTATTCAACAAATCCTATCGTTTAAATTTTATTTTTGTTTTCACACTTTATTTTTCTTTATTCTGAGCAATAAAATTGACGCAAACAGACGCATACACTCAATTAATTGGTCGTTGGATACTCCACAACGAGCTTGGTTTAATGCTCGAGTTCCCAACCACTCGAATCGTTTGCATTTGCTGGATGTTTTGCGTGCAAAACGGATATCGACGAACGGCGTAAGGGCGGGATTGATTTATGATCATGCTAGTTTGGCCTTAACAACTGGTCCTACGAAAAAGTTTTAATTGCTTTGGGATATATATATATGTATATATTTTTTGGAAACATTCATAGTGACGAGCCTTGTTCCTTTGATGAATAATATTCCAGAGAGATGCGAAAACTATTCTACAGATATATTTAAACAGGTATAAATAACTTCACTACTCAACTCTGACACACTTCATCAGCCAAATCAATGTCAATATGCTGATCTTGCGATTAATTCCCACCACAATCATCTCATTAGTTTCACATTGAGGATTTTAATTGACTGTTTATTATCTTGGCTTATTGCTATCTAATTGATTACTAAGTATCTGATTGATTTAAAGTTGGAATAATTATTTTCAATTAAAATATGAATGTTAATGAATACATGATTTTTATTTAGATTATTTTGATGAAATATTTTAAGTATCCAATGGATTGCAGTTACATGCAATAAATGAATAATTATTTAAACTTTATTTTCATTTAAAAATAAATATGAATCTTTGTTCCGAAGAATATATGAAACTATTCTTGGAGATTTCATCTTCAGACTTTATTCTCCATTGTTTCACGAAATTCGTTAGTAAATTTGAAGGAATAAGTAGCTTATGTGCTTACATTTCTCCACAAAAAGTGAAATATTATTTCCAAAATTTTCTCTTTGATCATTTTTCATAAAAATAATAATAATAAGATCTATATAAGTAATCATTCTTATTTATCAATCATTTTGGAATATTCCAAGTCATTGCTAACTTCAAAATGATTTTAGAAATTGTTAAGTATTAGGATGTATTTTATTATTCTATGTTTTAAATATTTAATATAACTGGTTGAATTTAAACAAATGAATTAAGTTGTAATTTGATTGTGTTGATTTTAGTTCATCCAATGATCCAAGTCCCAAACCAGTTGGTTGGTGCACCTACAGGGACAAACGTAACTCTGGTATGTCAAGTAGAAGCATCTCCAAAAGCAATTAACTATTGGACAAGGGAAACTGGAGAAATGATAATATCCAACCACAAATATTCAATGTCTGAAGAGAGACTGTCTGATTATAGTGTTCAAATGAAATTAATTATTCATAATTTTCAAACAACTGATTTAGGAGGATATAAGTGTATTTCTAAAAATTCCATTGGTGAAGCTGAAAGTAATATTCGTCTTTATGGTAAGAACATAAAATTATTATTAAAAAAGAATCCATATTTTAGGTAGGATAGTAAGTTAGGTGTAAGTACAACCTGTAGACATACTGTCTTAGTATTTTACTCGGCCAATTTTCCGGTGTAAACAAGAAAGAGCTCGTTGTTTCTCATATCCCGTTTATCTGAGAATGCGTTTGCATCTCTTCAAGTCACGCGATCAGATAAGCCTTTCAGATTAACCATTGAAGCAAGGAAGGAAGTGTTAAACTCCTAAAGAAATGGGAGTAAAAGTGAATAAAAAAGAAAAAAAAAGGAGACTGAGTGAGATTGAATGTACAAGTTAAAACAAAAAAAAAGAAAAATAGATTAAAAAAACTAGAGAAAAGCCAGAAGTACTTTTTGTTCTAAAAGAAGCTAGTCACGTAGACATATTTAAACAAAACTTAGCAATAGAAACAATATCCTTGAACATATTAGTTATCGTTTATCAGCACAACAGATGAAAGCTGAAAGTAGAATTGGGTAAGCCATATGTTACTAGATATAATCGATAAAAGTCGACAAAGTATTATCACTGGTAAACTCTAATTTTTTCTTGTCCTCACCCTGCTGTCTGTTTGGTGACTATAACATGACCTGATTTAGGGGAGTTAAAAGATAAATTCACTGCAGATTAATGATTATCATTTATGTAATAAATAAGATTTATCTTGTCTATTAAAGTGAATCTAATCAGTAACTAAATGTGTAGTAAAGAGCGTTGTTCCAAGTATTAAAAATGTATTATTTCTTGATGAAAAATGAAAGAAAAATGGATATTAACATTTATTGATTAATATCCATTAGGAATTTAATAAATTTTTAACAATGAAGAAGTTTGTGTAACATTAAATAAATAAACTAGGGTATTTTTATGAATGTTCAATCAATGTCAATAAATTAAATATTTGACAAAATATTTGTCAAGTATCGACTTTACAGTATAAATTTAGAAAAATGTAATAACATTAAATTATAAATAATTCACATGCATAAAAATTTTAAAAATTCATTTTTTTATATTTTCTTGATATTTGTATAGTATTTCAACTACATTTTCCTTTACAAGTATGAAAATAAAAAAAAACTGCTCTTTGAGGTATATTATTAGATTTTTAGATTACAAAGAATACTTTTTTTCAAATAAAAACGCATCATCTGTGTTTAGATGCATATTGTCTTTGCTGTACTTCAATATAAATTCCTCAAAACCTATTCTCTCGAGTAATATTTAAATAAAATGTTATATTACATATAAAAATATGTATAAGAGATAATAAAAATAAACGAAAAAATTATAAAATATGCTAGATAATTATCATAATTTAATAATAATTAAATTTGTTTCAAGACATGCAATTACCAGAGCACTCAAGGAAAAACAATGAAGTACCTTATGACGACGATTTAAGTGAAGCACGTGAACAACACAGACTAAATCGTATTTATCAAGGGCCCCTAAGGGAAAGTGATTCTACACTACAAACACCTTCTGATAGAAACGAATCATCTGGAGTATCAAGTATTTTTCACAATTCCATTCATAATTTAATTATTTTGTTAGCACACTTGACATTTATTTATATATAATAACACATCATAGACTAATGATTGTTAAATTGATGCAAAAATGTTTATAAAAATTTATTAATTAACTTTAACGAAACTTCATAACGTGTTAATTAATGATGAAAACAATTTTTTCCAAAAAAAAAAAACTTAGAAACTTTTTTATAAAATAAAAAGATTTTTACTTTCGAAAAATAAAAGTTAATTATTCATTGTTATTTTGTTGTTATGAGTGAGTATTCGGATTGATGTTTGATGCACTTATAAAATGAATAATTAATAAATATTTCTATAAAGCTCTTGCGTCAATTAAATAATAAAAATATTCAAAAGGCAACTACTCTTCATACTGTGAATGTTTAAAAAAAAATATTATTTACTAAATAATGACATAATGATTTATAAATAAAAATGAGTGCCAAACAAAAGATATTCGCAGCAAATAATAACTATATTGAATGGAGAATATTTTTCATTTACAACCTTCCGGTTTCAGTCCTACTTTAAAAGCTTCCATATATATATATATATAGAGTGGGATTTCGTATTCTTATGCTTTATCACGAATGTACATAGGGTAATAAGATAAAATCATAAACAGAACAATCTAAAACAATCGTGCTTCAATAAAATAATACCTTTGAATCGTCATTTGTCGTTGGTTAAATATTACATAATAAAACGTGCCATTTAGCGATAAATAAAGTGCATAAAAAGTTGAATAAACTAAACGGTAAATATTAAATCGCAAGTGCTGTAAATAAAATAATCATTGGAATTTTTATGTTCGTATTTCATTGCTTTGTAACAACTATTCCCAACCTTTAATGGAGAATAAACTCAAGTGATTTTTTAATCCATAGAGTCAAGAATGAAAATGGTAAAAATGACTTTTTAATAAATCTTAAGAGAATATTTTTTCTTTTAATCTATTTAAATTAATTCATTTAATGAATAGCTTTGCTTGTCATTTCGAAATATTTTAATGTCGACATATTATATAACATAAAACAAAATTTACAACTTGATACATCTGAAGAACATCTGAAACTCAACTTTTGATCTGTTGTTCATAAGTCGAGCTTGTGTATTACAAAATTCAGTAAGAGAGATCAAGCCTGAGGGTAGATGAAACTGATGCTGTAGAAAATAAAGGTTCACTTGTTACAATAATAGAATAGAATTTCTAATAAGTTCTCTTATCAAAAAATACAAAGACCAAAAGAATCATTGAAACAAATAACATAGAATTTAAATAACTTATTTCATATTAAGTATAATTAAAAAAATGATGGTTTTGAATTAATTCGATAAGCTTTACTTTCTATTAGAATTCAATCCGCTCTGGTTTCCTTTTAACGGAAATAAGTCCTTATTGATCAAAATCGGTTTATGAGTTTTGTATTATTGAAAACTATTTATATTAATATTTCATTGTTCATTACTTTTCGACAAATAATATTTATTTAAATAAAAATATTCTCTTAGGAGTAATTATTAAAATTTCTGTACATACTTAAATTAACAATAATAATATTGTTCATAACAATTTCTTTCATTCGAGTTGAAATGAATTCAATAAAATGTAATATAAGTATTAGAAAATGACTTGGAAAGTTATATCAAATTATAAATAGACAAATCCATTATTATTTATAAGAAAACTGTGGTAGATAAAGTTTCATGCCAAATATGAACGGAATGTAAAATGAAGTACATAAGTCCAAAGAATGTATTGTGAAAGTTTCGATTTTAATTAATTAATTTAACAGTGGAATAAAGTTGTAACAAAGTTATTTAAAGCATACCGACTTATTTTTCTTCTCTATCGTAAATATTTTACAATACAAAAATTGCATTGTATTAAAAGAAGCTAGATAATGTAAGTATAATTGTTTTAATACGAAGGATTATAATAGAAACCGCTGTTTTGTATTTAATTACACCGTTCTCAACTTTAAAATTGGAAATCAATGAAATTTTAAAAAACATCTAAGTACACAGATAGTAAAATCTCCTAAATTAGTATAAAAATAATTTTACAAATAATTACAATAAATTAATTTTTTCATTTATTTATTTTTCAATGGAACATTTTCTGTTAGTTATAGCATTTTAAAATAAATGTAAATCTTACTGTATTTATTTGATGAAATGAAGAGAAATAATACTAAGAAGAAGAAGAAGAAGATGAAATAAAACGAACTCTTTAGTTGGTGATTATTTTTTATTTCCTTCACAAGCATAGTTAAAATATACTTTAAAAGCACTGAAAGTTTACTAAATAATTTTCAAACAAATATTTAAACGTAAAGAATATTTGATAGATAATTTAATTCGAATATTTCGTAAGAAATTTATTTTTAGCTTGACGATAATGTTTAAAATATTTCTCTTATCATTGAAATTTTTTAAGTAAGTTAAATTATTGTAGAATACATTTAATCAAAAAGATAATTGTTTACTTAGTTTTAATCTAAATTTTTAAACTATTGTTAGGGCATTAATCTCAATGTAAATATAATTAATAATTTTTGGTGCATAAATAATTGTAACTTTACAAAATGAAAGTAGAATTGTAAAAAAAAAAAATCTTTAATTTTAAAATGAATGAGAAGTTGTTACGTTAAATCTTCTTCTGAACTAAAAAGAAAAATGAAATAAACAATTAAAATTTAAATAGAATAAATTATTTGTATAAAATTGATAAATGAATGGTTATTTAAATTATGTAGCAATAAAACCACATACTATGTAACATCATTTAATTTATGAATATAATACAATAATTTCGAAAGGACTGTATCAGTATAGATATACATATTGGTAACATGAGGTTTGATTGAGTTCATACAATATGCATATAATAAATAAAAAACCATGTACTATAGTAACAATGTAATTACTTATGTTGCTTGATTAAATATTAACTGTGGTCCATCCAAATGAAAATGTATGTCAGCTTATTTTATTTAGGTATGATATAAAAGCCGGTTTGCAAATATTTTAATTTATATCCAATGTATAGTAAAAGCTTCTATTGAAAATGACGGCGTAAATGTATATGTATGTAATAAATATAATACAAGAATGAATTTTTACAAAAAAAAAAAATCCAAATGGAAATATTATATTTATGTGTAGATTATATACTGTACAGAGTAAGAATTAAATAATTATTAAATTTATTGAACTGTTGAATGTAGCTAATATATAACAATATGTAGGGAAAAAAATTGATTCATATCAATGTCAAATGACAACATCGAAATGTATTACACAAAAAGCCTTAAGCTAACGTCGAGCCATTAAACAGCAAATATAACATCCTTAATGCATATTTGAATAAATAATATTGCTCACATATTATTTTATTTTGCTTGATTATCTCGTGGGGAATGACAATAATTGAAGCACGAAGCACTAACTCTACTCATTTGTTGAAACATGAAACACTTTATTACCGTAATAAATAATATAATTAATAAAGGTATCAATGTTAAATAAATTAGTGCGATAAATTTTCTAATAATCATCACTAGCAAAAATATAGAAAAATATGAGTGTAAAAATATACCTACAAGCATTATACATAAATGTGTGATGATGATAAATTTATATATTGAACGAAAATGCTTTGTATCTCAATGTAATGCATTTTACATTCATTATGTATCAATGTACCGGCTAAATCTTTGGCTCGACGACCATGAAGATGATACATATCCTAATAAAATTCATTTAAAAAAAAATATTTATCATTTTTCTATTTATTTAACAATAATCACAAGTTTAATATTTAAAATAAATTCAATATTTTGAATTATTCTTAAGAATGAATTAAGATTACGTTCTGTTTTGAATAATATTTTTTTAATCACGTATCGGCAATTACCCCGCTTCCCTGCAGTGCTTGTCAGTGACAATACGCTATTCAGAACTTGGAGAACTACAAGTGACACTCGCACTAACAATCGATTAGACTATTACGGAAACTCTAACAGGTTGAGTACAGTAGTATAACAAGTATTTACCTTAATGAATCATTGTTAATATCCTCAGCGACGTGACATTCTCACCACAAACTATTTACGATTGATCATATTTATCATTCAAGAGACATCAAGTGTACTCCAATCAACCAATTTTTTTATTTAATTCAATTACTCCAATCTCATTTTTAACTACTCTGAATAATTTATTAAAAATCAAAGATTTTTTAAAAATAATTCTTCTGTTTAAAATTCAAAATCTGACCATTTTAGGGGTGAATTTTCTAGTAATTTTGTTGAAAAAATTTTGTCTCAATTTGAAAGTTAAATACAGCAAATAGTTTGGGAATAGTTGAGTGTATGTTTTTTAATTAACGACATTCTTACATTGATCAGGATAGAAATAGGAAAAAAGAAAAGAGAAGTGACTATAAGAGAAAATAAGGTTGGTTGATAAAAAGGGAAGAGGATTGTAATATCACACAACGATTCACTAGCAAGACTGGTTGATTAAATTATGAGAGATAAATTCATAGATTAACATTCAAAGCTTATTACTTGGCAGCAACTCATTGAATCCCGTAGTTATTTCTCATGAAATTTGATTAAATTTCAAGCTAATATTAAAAAATGTCTATTTTTTAAATAATAATATTAAGAAAGTGGAGAAGGTGGAGGCGGATCGCTGATATCGTAAGTGGTTGCGAATCCTTTATAAGAGAAGAATCGTAAGAAGTGGGTAGAGGCAAGCTTGGAATTTTTGATGTACTAGCAAGCAGATATGAATATCGGAAAGTTCCCAAGAGAATTCCAACGGATAGAAGCAAAGGAGGATGAAGGGTAAAGTATTGAAAATGGACCAAAAGAAAGAGCTAGAGAAAGAAAGAGCAAAAGATAGTAGATCAAGTAGATTCAACGAGCGCGTGCTTGAGTAAACTTTGAGAAATCGCCGGAGAACCAATAAACTCCGTCACGCATCAAACAAATAATAAAAGAATGTTATATTCTCTCAAGTGGATAAGATTTATTTGATTTATTTTACCTTCTATATATTC